ATGGATGGATGGATGGATGGATGGATGGATGGATGGATGGATGGATGGATGGATAGATAGATAGATAGATAGATAGATAGATAGATAGATGATATAAAGAGAGAGAAGGAGAGAGAGAGACAGAGAGAGAGAGAGAGACAGAGAGATAGACAGACAGAAACAGAAATAGCACTGAGTCAACCTTGAGCTGGTCAGGATTGAACTTCTGTCAGTTGGCAGAATTAATCTGCAATGCTGCATTCAATAAGTAGATTGGAATAGACAGATGATAGATAGATGATAGATAGATAGATAGATAGATAGATAGATAGATAGATAGATAGATAGATAATATAAAGAGAGAGAGAGAGACAGACAGAGAGACAGACAGACAGAGACAGAGAGACAGAAACAGCAATAGCACTGAGTTAACCCTGAGCTGGTCAGGATTGAACTTCTGGTGGTTGGCAGAATTAGCCTGCAATGCTGCATTCTAATAGATAGATTGGAATAGACAGACAGACAGACAGATAAGAAACAGTAATAGCACTGAGTCAACCCTAAGCCAGTCAAGATCAATCTCCATCTATCCATCATTAATGCCTCAACAGTTGTTGAGATAAATGAGACAAAACTTAACCACAGATTCTTGGCCTTGAAAATAAAAAATTGCATGGCACAATGATAGCCCTCAAATGAATTACTTTACTAATTTCCTGGGTATGCTTCTCTTCTCTTCCAGCATGCTACCAAAGGTGTTGAATAAATTTTTGAATTCCACCCTTGAGAAACTCCTGCCTGGCATGGTAAGTTTTGGGACTTTGAGTTTATACAGTAGAGTCGTGAAGGATGCAGCTGGGGCCGAGATGTTTGAGGAGGGTCTCCTTGCTCACCTTGATTCTACCTGCCCACATTAGGTTGGGGCAGGAGGGGCACACTCCAGGTCTCATCTAGCAGGGATTGTTAACGTGCATGGGATCCATGGAGCCTGCCCCATTGGAAGACCCTCCTAGGTTCAGCTGGCCCCTCTCTGCTCACCTTTCAGGTGAATTAACGGTTATAATTATGGTGTAAAACAATATGTATATTCAAAAAATTTGCATTGTTACAAGTATGAGAAAAGTGGTTACAATCAGGGCGTATAAAACTATGTAGATTTGATACAGCAGTACACCGGCATTGCAGAAATGGAAACGTAGTGTATAATAAATGAACATTTAATAATAATAATAATAATAATAATAATAATAATAATAATAATAAT